GAGAACGACCCGAGTCGGGTAGCTCGGTTACCACATGCCCAAAAATACTATAAACAGCGATGCACGTGGTGCACAATTTTGAGGTCATTTATCCAGCCTTACAATTATATAAATGAATAAAGAAAAATGTACGGGATATATATAGTACGTGAGTTGTGCGAGGCACGAGATATATTTATTTAGAAAATATTATATATTATAAGATGCAATATTCAATAAAAGTTTTACAATACGCAGGAAAATTGTACAATAAAATAGTATTCGCCAAAGAAACAATCATATATTATTAAAGACCTCATTGTACACAACATTATTAAAAATCTCCTATTAACTTATTTGATTAATTCAAATCCTTGATTCATTGTTGTAGATAACACACTGGTTTGTTTTTTGTTTTTTCGCAGGTTGAAAGAGAGGAACACGTTGATTTAGTATTGGGAGATTTTTAATTTATAATTGGTTTATTAAATTATATGTAAAGATAATGTCAAGTAAAATCAGATCAATATATGTAGTAACAAATCTAAGATATTTATCGCATTATAATTTGAAATATATTGCATTTAAAAAAAATCCAAACAACTAAAACGTGTGAAATATGTTTTTATTTGGGAAGGAGATAACTATGTTGATAGATCTTATCATCATGTATAAATAGTTATAATTTATAATTGCATTTAAAAAAGATTCCACATCAAAAAAACGCGTGAAATCTGTTTTTATTTGGAGGAGACGCGTGAAATCTGTTTTAACATCAGATCAGATATTTATCTCTTTATAATTTATAATAAATCTGTTTTAACATCAGATCAGATATTAATCTCCCTTTGGCCCTTTAATTGACATAGATCAGTCCTGGAAGAGAGTGTAAGCCCAAACCGTCGCTGGCTGGGCACAGCCCTAGCCCCCTTCAGGAATAAGACATATCCTGTTCGGTCTATTTCTTTATTTCCCCATGAATCATATGTTTGTAACAATAGGGACAGAAATAATTTATAATAATTTATAATTTAGATTAAAAAAATTCCAAACACAAAAAACGCGCGACTTTTTAATAA